TATTTGTGACAGAAATCAGGGAAGCTGCAACTGAAATTCCTCTGGTCATGGCTCAGAGGAAAACGCATTGCCCCTTTGTTCTTACTCTTTTATTGTGTGAAGAAGCATCGAGAAGGTAGGATGGCAAGGTAAAATTTAAAGTCGGATTTAAATTGCACCACCACATAAACACTATTAGGAGAATGCCTTAGAGGAGTTGGGCTTGTGGGAAATGCAAGCACTTGGAGTGCTCTGAAAGCAAAACTGGAGAAAATAGGAGACTTCGGGTGCTGACTGTTCTCGGCGTGCCCTCACAGGAGAACAGAGCTCAGACCTTTGCTTATGTTACTCAGAAATGAAGGTGGAAGTGAAATGAATGTGGAGCTGTCGCTGGTGCCAGGACTGCTCAAGTTACTTAAAACATGAGCCTTTCAGACAGGGACTGTGGGTGCCTCCCCTTCCCAGTGCTGAGCTGGGGCCCACATTCTAAAAGAAGAAACGGGCAGCTCTGTCTGAAAACCAGCCATCTGGAGCTGGGCTTCGGAGCAGCAGAACGGCCAGAATCGCCAGGGGTTGTCAAAGTCTCCTGCAAAAGAACACGGGGAGAGCAACAGCACCAAGCAGCATGCAGGCTGGTGGCGTGGCTGACAAAAACTGGGGGTCCTTATGAGTTCTGCATGCCATCGACTTATTTGGGGAGGGACATCAGTGGAGAACGGGAAGGTGCGAGGAGCTGGACCGTTTTTCCTGGTTATGGTCGTATCTTCTGTCTGCTGTCTCTGATGGACTCCGGCTCCAAGGTACACACAAATGAGAGGAAACCTATTTTCAGTCTCCATGAGACAAAAGTGCTAGTGCAAAAAAGAGGTTACAAAGAGAGTTGCTTCCTGTTCAGGGCTGCTGATGTGAAGAGAGATCCCGTCAAGAGGCTGAGGCCAGGGCAGGACCTTGGTGCAGGTTACAGCTCTTGGCGGCTGCCCCTGCGCGAGCGGAGCAACCACTGCTGGGAGACACAGGGAGGGCGAGCGGGTCTGTCTGGGTGTGTGAGACGGAGCCAGCTGGGGATGCGAGACAAGAAAAGATGCTCTCAGCTCCCAAGAGCCCTGACACTGGGCCAGGAGGTCCAGGCCTGGATTCCCAAGGGAGGAGAAGGGACTTGAGCTTCTGCTAGTCCTTGGGGATGCTTGGTGTCTACAAGCTTTAGGCTGAGCTCAACACTGCTTAGGTTCAAAGTTTCAGGAGTATCTCAGTGATGTGTGCATCTAAGGACACAATTTACAAAGTGACTTTCACACTGAACCTTCGATTGAGTAAGGAATTATTCCTCTGAAAATTCAAATACTTGGTAAATAGGTTTGATTTACAGCAAGAGGGAAGGCACCACGGCAGTCAGGGTGGCTGACTTCAGGAGCAATTCATTTCTTTACCTTCAAAATGCTTTGGTGCTTCCACCAACAAACTACATGCAAGAGTTTAAATTACGAACCAATCTGTACTCATCAAAATTAAAACCACAGCACTTTTTTCAATTAGCTAGTCAAAAGTACTTCCTTGTTTTAAGACCCCAGCACTGACATTTTAGATGACATTTAAAATTTTTCAAAAGCAAAAAAATCATCATTCGAAAACAGTTTAAAATACTAGTTTTTCTATTTAGGTACAGAACATATCACAGAGTCACAGAGTGGTCAGGGTTGGAAGGGACCTCTGGAGATTATCTAGTCCAACCCCCTGCCAAGGCAGGTTCATCTAGAGCCGATGGCACAGGAACGTGGCCAGGCAGGGTTTGAATTT